TGCTCTGGGGGGAGCAGGGACAGCCCCCAGGGAATGGCTGGAGCTGTGTCAGGGCAGGCTCAGGGTGGATCTCAGCCAAAGGTTCTTCCCCCAGAGGCTGGTTGGCACTGAACAGGCTCCCCAGGGCAGTGGGCACAGCCCCAAGGCTGCCAGAGCTGCAGGAGGCTTTGGATGATCCTCTGGGGCACAAGGGGGGACTCTTGGGGATGGGCCTGTGCAGGGCTGAAGGTTGGACTCCAGGATCCTTGAGGGTCTCTTCCAGCTCAGCACATCCTGGGATTCGGTGATTCCATCAACACATTCTGCCAAAACCTCCCTCAGAAGTTGAGGGTGCTGATGTTTGGTATCCACAGGTGACTTTTCTCTATCCTTTTCTTTCAGTGGGTGATACTTAAATGTGACAAAGGACTGTAACTCTCCTCTCACTGCCCTTTGCCTCTAAGGTGGCACATGGGCTCCTTGACCCAAGAGCAGCGTTCTTGGCAACCTTGAACCTCTTCTGTGGGTTGTTCTCAGTCCAGGTGGTCTGTAAGGTGGGTTTGTTTTAGGTGAAAGCTGTTGCACCTTTAAATGGGTTCTCTGTGGCCCTTGTTCTGCAGAGGAGCTGAAGGCGCCGCTCGAGGAGTACGTGAACAAGAGGTACCCGGGGCTGGTGAAGGTCGTGCGCAACCAGAAGAGGGAAGGGCTGATCCGAGCCCGGATCGAAGGCTGGAAAGCTGCCACGGGCCAGATCACGGGATTTTTCGATGCCCACGTGGAGTTCACTGCTGGCTGGTAGGTGCTCAACCCCAGGGTCTTGGTTGGAGGGGGTGTGATGGATCACCCAAGGGCCAGTGTGCTGTTTGTGAGGATGTGTCCTCACAGAATGACAGAGACTCCTTTGGCTTATTAATTCCTTCTGTACTGCATGGCCACTGATGAGGAATGTTGGGAACATACAAGGAAAACAGTGACAGCCCCCAGGGAATGGCTGGAGCTGTGTCAGGGCAGGCTCAGGGTGGATCTCAGCCAAAGGTTCTTCCCCCAGAGGGTGGTTGGCACTGAACAGGCTCCCCAGGGCAGTGGGCACAGCCCCAAGGCTGCCAGAGCTGCAGGAGGGTTTGGATGATCCTCTGGGGCACAGGGGGGGACTCTTGGG